ACAAGGAGAGTTCTTTTAGACTGGGGTCATAATTAACTGGTGATTAAAACACAAGTTAATTGAAGCTAGTTCAAAGAATAAATCTTAACAGTTTCTCCGTTTAACGTCTTCGTAATTATGAGGAATGTATGAGGTTTGGTAAATTACAGAATCATTTGAGAATTGAGATGGGTTGTAATTACTTAGGGATTTATTACGTCTGCATTCCACCACGCTCTTAGCGTTGCATGATATTTACTCGTAAATCTGGTAACTACATATAAAAACTTTGTTATAATTGCAAGTGAGAAATGAGAGTTGTGGCAATTACAGCAGTAGGTACTATAAAATTGTCCTAGTATGAAATATTGTTACTTTTACTTAACAACTCTACGAAATTGTGTTTATTTACTAATTCCTACTTAGCTTCCATGCATAAAAATGATTAGAGATTAATTATATATTATGAGTGTATTTTAACTGCCTCGGTGGTATAGGCTAGCATGTACTGCCGAAGATGCGAAGGTCCTGGGTTCGAGTCCCAGGTCAGGTCAAGTTGTTGGGTATTTTTGTCATTAAATTCTTAGTAATAGCCCAGAGTTCGGAAATTGACGGTGACCTCGGAGTCTCGGAGAGCAAGTGAAGCCATCGGTCGCGCTCCTTAACTTTCATTGGTCTTGTCGAATAGCAGTCCCACCGGAGTATGAGAGTGACAGGAATAGAGAGTGTACTTGTGTCTGCGCGTACACTTGTGCACTATAATATCTCCTGCGCAGTTAGCTAGTCTCAGTGAGATTGGCCGCCCGCGCCGTGGCCGAATTCGGTCAGGAGCACGTTATTATGATTATGAATATATTTAAATTATCTAGTTATCTGTATTCAGGAGCGGGAAACACCGTGACATCGTTGTCTTGAGTAAGCTCTTGTTTAGCAGATTGGACATGGCGTACGCTTGCAAACCCATCTACTCTAAAATACAATTCTATGAAAACTAAATGTAATTAAATTTATTCGAATTGTGAGCAATTAAATTAATGTAAACTGTTTTTAAGGAATGCAGTTATTTTTTTATTTTTTTTATTTTAAATTAGAGTAGATACAAAATGTCCAGAATGAACAGACAATGAGATGTATTATTTAAATATACCATTAGACAATCCTATATATCAATTATTAAGTATTAAGTAAACGCTTAGTTGTTTTGGAAATACAATAATATCTTCTATTCAGCCCTTTTTTTAACGTCCACTGTTGGGCACGAGATTCCCTTCAGTACGAGGGCGATCAGGCCATAGTCCACCACGCTGGCCAAGTGCGGGTTGGCGGACTTCACATGTCTTTTGAAAACTTGCTAGGTTCTCTCAGACATGCAGATTTCGTCACGATGTTTTCCTTCACCATTAAGACAAGTGGTAATCATGTTGGAAATTATTCGAACATGAAAATATCAGAGGTGCGAGACCTGGGATTGGAACTCGCTTCACTCGGCTCCCCAAGCCAACGCGTTAAACCACTAGGCTACCACTGCCTATCAAATCAATAATATCTTACGAGTACTAATTGATATATACACTTTTAGTATACCCTTTAGTAATTATATTTGATAATAAATATACAAAATAATTTAAGTGAATGAGAAATTTCATTAACAAAAACTTTATGTAGTACCCATTACCAATCGCCAAAATCCCGTTAGAATTTGTTAAACCGTTCAGCATATTATGGGTACGAATACGAACAGACAGACAGATATTCCAACTTTATTTACTACAAAGAACAATTTTGCAGTGCAATAGTAAAAAAATACAGTTTTTTTACTTGAAGTTTTAAAGTATTTTATTATTGAAAAGAGTGCCAACGATACAATAAACTTGTTTCGATTTGTACCGGTTACAAGTATTATATAATACACTATAATATCAATCATACTCATTATGTATATGACTTTTTATAGTCTGTCGCTGTCGCATAACGTTAAACTAGTTTTTATATTTTTATTAATATTACAAATATCGACATGTTTGCTTAATCTTTAGTTATTTTTAGTTATCTTTAGTTATTTTTATAACTGCCTCGGTGGTGTAGTGGCTAGCATGTACGGCTGCACACCCGGAGGTCCTGGGTTCGAGTCCCGGGTCGGGCCAAGTTTAGTTATTGAGTCTTCCTGTATAGTAAGTCTCAGTAACAGCCCGGAGTTGGGAAGTTGGCGGTGTTTCACCCCCGTGCCTCGGAGAGCACGTAAAGCCATCGGTCCTGCGCCTTAACTCTCACCGGTCGTGTCTCGCGTCGTCCCACCGGAGTATGAGAGTGATAGGAATAGAGAGTGCACGTTGTGTCCGCGCGTACACTTGAGCACTATAATATCTCCTGCGCAGTTGGCTAATCTCATTGAGATTGGCCGCCATGGCCGGAATCAGCTAGGAGAACATCATCAGTTATTTTTATTGATTCTACTAGCATTGCCCGCGGCTCTGCCCGCGTTCAGATGAACATACACCAAATTCTTAGGTTTTACATAGTAGTATACTCTTACAATGCTGTTTTTGTATATTTTTCTCAGAAATTAGACATTTACCCGGGGTAAAAAGTACCTTAAATGTTGACCCGGATAATCAGCTATCACCATACCAAATTTCACCAAAATATCTCCAGTGGTTTTTCTGTGATGCGGTAACAGACAGACAGACAGACAAAGATTCTAAAAGTGTAGATTCGGCCTCTGTATCGATAATAATGTTTATTTCAATAGGATTTTCCAAAAACATTTTATGTACAGATTCGGCTTAGTTACAATTTTATTATATGTATAGATTAATTGATTTTATTAAATTGACTTTGTGCTTACTTCTCTTAGGTTTAAACTACATTACTTGCATGAAGACTATCTACTATTTATTTCAAAAAAAGATTGGCTACTTGCAGAATAAGGGTTTTTTTTGGTATAGAATGAAATAAGAACAGATGTAAGTGGATTGCTAGTTGTATTTATATCCAAGTGAATTTGTGCAGATGAAATTTTTATTTACTTACAAATTTCTAGCAAAAATCCTCTAACTTTTACAATAAATGGCTTTCAACTGCTATTTATAGTCCTGTAAAGCCTTCAACAATAGCCACGACCTTGCTTAAGATATATCGGCCGCTCACAATGCATGGCCTTAACTTATAAAATACTGTATTTGTGTATCAGATTAGCGCTGGTTGATGACTCATTAAATTGTACGTCATCTTAAAAAATACTTTATACGAAACTCATCTGGGATACGATTTTTGTTACCTTTACGAATTTTACATCTTCATATGTCATGCTTAGACTTTTTATTCACTATAGGATATTTACTAGCAAAAATTATCAGTTGTTTTCAAAGAGTAATAGAATTCGAATTAAAGATTTATTGTTGTTGTTATTTCGCAATTTTTAACAAAAAGTACTTAAAATGTCATATATGATTAATTAATACAAGAAAACTTATGGATGAAATCTGTATGAAACAAATGATTACTTCATACATACTACATATTATACAGTTTTTTTTCTACTAAGGAGTAGACTAAAGTCATGCCCATTTCGTTAGGGTTGTTACATGGGACTCCGGTGGGCGGTATACCATGCGGGTTGCTCCTGGTACTTCTCTGACAGCAGAGTGGATCGTGGTAGCAACCTCTTGGTTGTGTGGTCTGCTTCGGCAGACCTGCCGTCGGAGCGTCGTGGTTGCGATCCCGCAACGCCCCATTAAGTCGGGGGAGGTTTTGTTGGGTTTTACTGGGTAGTACTGGCTTTTCTAGTCAATAAGACCCACATAACCACCGGATACATACATAATAGAATACAAGGTATAAATAAAGGTATTTCCCAATATTTAAAAAAAAGGATTGTTACATGGGAACAAAATAGTTAATTATTACATATAGTTATGGAATTTTAAATAACGTTACAGTTAACGTCATATATTTCGTTATTAATGTATGTTATTAGTATTGTATTATTATAATCAACTGTAGGCGTATACCTCGTTGATGAATGCTCACGTATACGTCGCCACATTTTGTGGTCGGACTGCTATTATAATTGCCAAAGAAATTTTTGATTTGTTATGCCCGATTTTACCAACAACCCATAAGCTACCACCTACGCATGGTATCCCTAGCTAAAAAGTCCCCTAAACTAGCCCCTAAATTAAATTTCGTTTTACGATCGTCTTTAAGCCCATATTTCGAGCACCTAAATTTAGGGGGCCTTTTAATATTTAGGTAACCCCTAACTCTCGGTGAAACAGAAACTGTCCCCTAACAGCCCCCTAACCATGCTTAGGGGATCCCTTAAACTTAGGTGACGTTGGTGAAATCGGACATTATAATCTTTCATGCTAATTTTTAGTACAAACATTACGATGCGGAGTAACACATAGCGTACTGTTAGGCATCTAAAGGCGCACCCAAATTGAGCAATTTTATGATATGTTGTCTCATAAGTGCTTTTGTCTCAGGGTTGGAATTTTTGACCTTTGGCCCAGATAATGTTACATAGACGTGTTTTACGATGTCCATAGGTACTAAATATAATGTTATTACGTAATAAACATATAAAATATTTATGTTAATATATTCGTTTTATTTCTGTTATTAGAAATATTTTATTTATTACTCTAAAGTTGAACTTTACCCTAGTTTGTTTTATGAAATCGTTCAAATTGAATACATTAAAAGAAACCCGACTTTAATTTTTATATCATAATCATAACAATTTAATCGTTATTATAAGAAACAATTTATTGTTCTTATAAAAATTCCTTTTTTAAAAAAAAGGTTTAAATATATCTAATACCTTATTTTACTTTTATTTTTTAATATTGAAACTCATTTTAACTTATGTACATATAACGAACCTTTTTTATACACTACACTCTTGTTGTAATAATTTATTATTCAAAATGACAATTAAAAAAACTATAAATTAAAATTGTTGAGATTTAATATAATTTGCTTTTTATTATTATAATTAACTAGCATAAAGTACTCACATTCTGTTTCATGGCTGTTCCTCGCATGTCCCCTTATCTGTTCATTTACGTAGTTATTGCTTTTGGGTACATTCAGAGCACTTCGTATGCCCACTGAAGAGTTATCCAAATGTCCTGGGCCGATCTTTGGGACGTGACTCGAACAGTAAACTTCTTTATCTTCTGTCCAGTGCTGATTGTTATAGTATGTCTGAAAAAGAAGGTTTGATTGTAATATTTATTTTTATGTAAATTCTTACAAACTTCCAACCCCGTTAGGGGTAGAATTTCAAAAAATCCTTGCCTAGGGAAGCCTTTCCTTTACTTTTTCAGAAGAATCTACTAGCTAAATTTAAATTTGTTAGTATTTATATTTTCTGAGAATTCGTAATTAATCATTGAGTGAAGACTGCAGTCTACCCGATTAGATTATATTACAGTGTACATAAATAACAAAAACAAAATCCTAAACATTTTCCAGATTTGAAACTTGAAATTGTATAACTTTCATTCATTAATTACAAATACTTTAGTGGATGATGATGATTGATGACCCATTCCAGTGCTTGCCTTTTTAAGGAATTCTAATCCAGTTTTTTTTTAATACTGGCGATTTATTCAGTGCTTTGTCTGTCAGTCAATCAGTGTTAAAGTTTTATTTATACAGGATATCAACGGAGCAATGGATTGATGTGTTTGTTCCAATGCAATTTATTGGTCTGAAAGTGATATACCTAGGCTAGATGTCAAGTTTTTTGTCTGGATATTTTAAATTATTATCGTGGGAAAAATTAAAATGTAGTATTGCAAGAGGAAAACAAATTAAAGAGAGTCACTACAGGGTTCTGTTTAAAAATACCTTCGATCACTCATAAAAACTAAAACTGATCGAAGAAGTGTACTAGATTCACCCTCACTTTCGCTTAAGCTTGACTACTTGATTACAAACTTTATTACAAACCATCGACTATTCTTTACTATCCATAATTATAATGTACGTGTACAATACACATAAACCTTGCGGGAAAAATTCTCTACATGATAGGCAGTTGTTGGTAGCGAATTTTCACACTATTTAAAGATATGTACATTCAATAATACACTAGAATTATATCCAAAACCAATGGAACTGTTAATGATCACAGTGAGGCACTGTGTCTCGTTTATAAATACACAATTTTCTATAGGTAAATTCAAGTCAACACTATAATATAAAGTATAAAGTATTGTGATATTGATGATAATAATATTGATGATGATATTCTGAGTATATGTCCGCATGTTATTTAGGTGTTTTTGTTGAAACTAATGTACGCTTAGTTGTCAAAACAAAACATATAAGAATAGAATTTACTTATCTATACTAATATTATAAAGAGGTTTTGTGAGTTTGTGACGTTGTAGGGAGTAATCTCTAGATCTACTAAACCGATTTACATGAAATTTGGTAAAAGTTTGAAACCCTGGAAAGGACACAGGATACTTTTTATCCCGGAAATCATCCCTTAAGGGGTGAAAATGGGGATGAAATTGTGTATTGGGAAGCAAAATATAGAACACATTTCTATCTAAATTAAACTGTTTTAAAAAATATATTAATAACACTAAAGCTCGTCAATTGCCGTTGTAGCTGAACTATTTTGTTTTTGCCTATTTATGAGTATATATATATATATATATATATATATATATATCATACATCCTACTTGATGACTATGATTCAGAGGGATAACAAAAAAACTTTTCTATAGTCCATGCCAATTATTATACATTTTTATAGGTAGGTACGTCAAATATTCACGATTGGTTAAGGTGTTAAATCATGAACGGTGACAAGCAACTTACGACAATGTTGGCTTAAATTATTTTACAAACTTTTTTTCTCTATCATAGAAATGTCTTTTTATTTTTAACTAGTGGCTCACTCTCGCTTCGCTCGGGTCCGCCTCTAGACAAACAATAACAAATTTATCCCACGGGAACCGTACTTTTTCCGGGGTACAAAGTAGCGTATTTGTAATTGTGATGTATGAACTATATTATTGTAAAGTTTCATTAAAATCCAATCAGTAGTTTTTGTATAATAAGCTGTATAAGTAACTATAGTTTTTGAACTCTTTAATTTTCCGGGATGAAGAGTATCTAAGATGTTAACCGGGGATATAAGGTACCACCATGCAAAATTTCATTTATATCGGTCCAATAGTTTCGGAGATTAACCCGTACAAACAGGCAAATACACAAACAAACAGAGAAACAAAATAATTGAAAAAATCTGGATTTGTTCTATTTCTCTTCTTACACCCCCCTGAGTCTGAGTTTTTAGCAATTTTTTTCTATGTACAGACATTCAACCTCTACTGTTTTATTATAGTATAGATAATAAAGAATTATAGAAGAGGATGTACGGAGATAATTTTGAAAATTTACTGTTACTTAAAAATTTCGATTATTTGTTACGTCAGAGGACTCCATTTTTTTGGGCCCAATTGTAAAAAAAACTGTCAAATTCTTAATATTGCAACATAGAGGTTTATAGATTTTAAGCATTCTGTGCATACAAGAAGCGATTTATAAACCAATAACAGTAATAACCGTGATAAATTGTACCATTTATTGCAGCAAATCTGTTAATTCAATTTTATGGCGTTTTGACGCCTTTGAATAGCTATTCTGTCGATTCGTTCAATTGTCGAGTTCATTACTGGATTCATTCATTGCAATACAATGGCTCACAAGCACTGATTATCTGTTACTGTTTTTCTGTTACATTTATGTTTCCGGTACATGTTCATTTTAATTATAACGTGTTAATTATTTGTATTTGTACATCCATACTTAGAATTATAAAGGTGAAAGTAACTGTGTTTGTTTGTTAGGTAACAAACAAACACAATTTACGTTTAAATTGCAGGACAAATTTCGATGAAATTTGTAAGGGAAATAGGCTTTTCTTACTTTTCATCCCGTCCCGCTTGCGCTTAGCTTCGGGTAAATACTAGAGTTATAATAAAATTGCAACGGAATGAAAAATAATTAAAAATGCCTATTCGTATTGTCTATTAAATGTCTTCTGAAACAAGTTTGACTGAAGAAAGATTTTGCCTTTTGCATATTTCCAATGTTTCTTTAATATCGATATATTCAAATTATATTATAGACTGGCAGAGAGTAGTTAAAGTAATTGCTTACTTTTATTTTAAATGTGCGTAGGCATCATGTAGTGCGAAGTTGTACATTTAGCTTGTGGCCATTAGACTTTCAAAGATTAAGTTGTGACTCTACAGAAAGTTTTAATTATCTAAATAAAACATAAATCTCAAATACTATTATTTTTGCCTTTACATCATTCTAATCATACCTCAGATTTAAAAAAAAAATATTCCTATAAATCTTCAATGTGCATTTTTCTTTGTAGAATGTTGTTTCATTTAATTTAAAAAACATAGACCATTTATATTTTCTTAATTTGTAAGCAATAGCCACATGGCCTCTAAAACAATACGCTATATATGTAACAGTTATTGTACTGTAATTATACAATGTTAGCAATGAGTAATTTAACAGGTTAATACCACATAACTCAGCGGACCAAACGTTTGCTATCGATTGGACACTTACCAAATAGTATATATATATATTAATTATTAAATATTAGATAGAAGTTTTAGTAAAAAAAAATTATAAATATGACTTTTTCTTAGTTACATACCGTTTGTCTATTCGTCGGCATTTTAGTGAAAAAATGCTATTGAAATTAGTTTAACCACTTTTAATGGTGCGTGATTTACAAAATTTACAAGAATTCTAAGAAATCTTCATAGAGAAATAGATTTTATTAGATCTCAAAAACGGTACGACCCACGATTTTTTTTATGTGTATATTCCAAGTACAAAAACTTAATTGTCGTTTTAACTTTAGATACATTTTACAGATTTTTTAGCGGCTATAGCATAAGTTGCGATGTAAAAATAATATGTAATATACATAGATATAGAAAAGTCAAATTCTTCTCTTAGTGTCATTAAAAAAATTACAATTTTATTAATCCATATTGATCCATTCTCATTCAATTGTGAGGATGTATGGATGTTTGTTTCAATTTCATGACAGAACAGCTGAAAGGATCTGGATGAAATTTGGCACACATAGAGATTATAGTCTGAAATAGCACAAAGGTTACTTTTATCCTGGAAAATGTATGAGTCGCTAGTGTTATATAAAATTGAATACATTTAATATTTTGTTAAAGCTTTTTTAGACCAATAAACGAGCATAGTTATAATTTTATCACATTTTACATTTTTGGTTTTATTTTAGTTAACATCATGGCCAGCCTAATATGACGCATACTACGATCTGTAACACTATCATATGCCATATTATAGACTATTACTCACTTTTATTTACCTTGGATTAATCATTACGTTCGATATGGTTTGTGAATTTTACTTTTGAAGATTACGAAAAATCAATTTCATTTTTCTTTTAAGAAATTAATAAAGTTAGAGTTTGCCGAGTGCTGAAATTCGACCATAATAATGAATGACAGTAAAATATACCTACGTGAATAGAAGTTCTCTTTCTATATACAAAAAATTATCTGTTTTCATATTATTCTTATTCTTTACATTATAACACTAAGCTCGTCAATAGCTACTAAATTAAAAAAAAAGAAATTCGGTCGACAAACAGAGGAGATAACTGAGCTGTTTCGTGTTTTCCAATTTATATATCTGTATTAATATTATAAGGAGGTAAAGTTTTTAATTATGAGTTTGTGACGTTGTAGGGGGTAATCTCTGGATATACTAATAATAATAATTAATAATTTATTTATTATAACACAACAACAATAAAAACTATAAATTAGATAACAATATACATTTACATTTGAAATAAAAATTAACATATAATTAATTGATTAATTTAAAATTTATTTATTTATTTCAAATCTAATCAAAATTTCAAATTTTGTGGTTGAGATCCCCTTTTAAGCAAATAATTTGCCTGTATTAGGAGACCCCGCCCTTTCATAAAAAAGTAATTTTATCTTTTAGCTGATTATAATATTATGGGTGATAATGCAAACTTAAATAGATCAATTAAGACAAACAAAAAATAAAAAATAAAAATAAAAATTAGCGTACATATATTTGTTTGTGTATTGTGTGTGAGTGTGCGTGTGTGTATGTGCGTGCGCGCGTGTGTGTGTGTGTGTGTGTGTGTGTGTGTGTGTGTGTCCGTGTGTGTGTGTGCGCGTGTGTGTGTGTGTGCGTGTGTGTGCGTGTGTGAGTATTTAATGAATATGTTCTAACAGTTTTTCCGTATCATTGTAACTAAGGGTTTTTATCCAATCTATTAATGTCTTTTTGCATTTATGGTAATTGTAGGGGTAAACATAAATGATACTGTTAATTTTATTATATAATTGTGCAGATCTTTTATCGAATTGCATTGACGCAAATGTTGTTCTTGTTTGTGGGATTTTAATTATATTTTCTTTCCTTCTTTTTAATGTTAAAGACGCATCATAGGAAACAGCCTTATGTACTTTTAGTATAGTTTGAGTAATATACAGCTTTCTAACTGAGAGCAGTGTGCTAACTTGGTACAGATTCTCAGTTGGAAATGTAAGTTTTTTAAAGTACATACATTTTATTAGAGCACGTTGTGCTCTCTCAAGTTCAATAAACTTCGTTTTAGCAGCTCCGCCCCAAATCGGGATACAATATGATAGCACTGATTGTACTAAGGCAAAATATATTTCATTCAAGAGATTCCTGGGGCGAGATGAGCTGCTAAAAACTTGTTTAGGGACTATGTGTCTTAGGGACCGAAACATCCAGCTCAATTTTCTGACTCTGTTTGCCACATGATCGATTTGAGAATGCCAAGATAATCTCTGGTCAATGAAAACACCCAAATACTTAGCACATGGAACCCTCGTTATATTTAAGCAACTGCAGGTAGTGCTTTTATCATTATTACACAGATGTATTTTTATATTGAAATCTTCTCTAGGTTGTTTACGTTTACATATGCTAAAGCATATATAATTTGTTTTAGAAATGTTCAGTGTGAGTAGGTTCTTAGACAACCACCTGGCTACTTTAGCCAACCCTATTTCGGCATTAAGCCGTACCTCGTGCCAAGAATTACCCGTAAAGACTAGAGCTGTATCATCAGCATATGAGAATACCTTAGTATTTGTTAGTTGTATATTACAGAGCTGGTTTACATAGATGAAAAACAGAGTAGGTCCCAGGACACTGCCTTGCGGAACACCATATGATACGTCTGTATATTCACTTGTGTAATGAGTAACCCTAACTTTCTGCTTCCTATTTGAGAGGTAGTCATTTAAGAGCTGTAGTGGAATTCCACGTACCCCAATATGTTCAAGCTTTTTTACAAGAATTTGGACAGAGACAGTATCAAAAGCTTTTTTTAGATCAAGGAATACAGTTAGACATTTATACTGACCTATTTAGATGAAATTTGGTAAGAAGATAGCTTGAAACCCGGGGAAAGGCATAGGATATACTTTTTATCCCGAAAATCATCCCTTAAGGGGGTTAAAGTGAGGATGAAAGTTTGTATGGGGAATAACTTTTAGATAATAAGTGCAGTTTTTATTTATATGCTATATTCAATGTATTTTTAATGTGACTTTACCTAAATTAAATCAGAACAATCATTCAGTCTTCTTTATTATTGTCACAAACGGGTATCGAACCTGCACCGTCTGTCGGATAGATCTGAGATATCGAGATATTAATCGATTGACATAGAGATCTAATTTCTAAGTAAAACTAAAGAAAGGAAGTTAATATTAATGTACATAATATGATTGTACGATAATACCATTGTAATGTTAACGTATCTAATTTATTTTGTTCTGGTTCATGATAATTTACCGACGCCTGACATTTTGACGTCCTTGCAGGTGTCTGTGATGTTTTATATAGTTTTTTTATTTATTCTAACGACATTTTTAATGTTGCTATGAGAGTCTCTTATTGTACAATACGTAAAAACCATAGTATTCAATTTGTTTACACAAAAAATTTTGCTTAAAAGTTTTAATATCTTTTACAGAAGTAAGGAGTTTGTTGACTTTAAAATCACTCTAAGTTATTTTTAAATTTTAGGGCTGATTTGCTTGTAGTCTATAATGCCGTACCTTCCGATGTAACTTGTTCTTTAAAATGTATCATGAATAAAAGATAACAATTTGCGAAGATATCAGGAAATCGGTCAAAAAATTACTGCGTAACCTCATGGATTACCTTTATAATAAAAAAATGAACATCATGATTTCTCTAACTTTTACAACATTGGCAAATGTAATAAATAATAAAAGATTTACGAAATAAAAATTGTATATGTACATACAATTCACATAAGGTAGAAGTGAAATTTCAGAAAAGTCACCTACGAGAGAATGAGATGAACATATATAGAGAGAGTATCAGGAGTAGGATAATTGTAAGGTTTAGTTTTATTTACCAATTTTAAAAGTTGTTTTACATTTTATTTAACATATATGTATTCTATCTCATTCTCTCGTCAGCTTTATCCAATATATTTATGTGTTTGTCTCTTTCTAGTGTCGCATTTACGTTTCATCGAGTTTCAAATCACAATAATTCTAAAGAAGTTTCATTGCAAAAAATAATTTTACGAGATCATTAAATATTATTTTCTCACTAAAAGATAATTCTCATTTTTTTTTCTTAAAATACATTATTTGATTCATTTTCTAAAATAAGTAAAATATAATATACATACCTTTAATGTAAGCTTGGTCCCACACACAGCGCATTTAAAGCAGCCGCTGTGAAAGAAGGTGAAGTCTTTCAAGGGACCGACTCGGTCCACTTGGTACACTATCTCGTTGCACCTGAAGCACGTGCTCTCGTAGAAATTCGGTCGGTACATGTTTGCGATCACGTCATAATTAGAAAACACTTCACTTCACTTTGACAATTTTGTCACTTTCTGTCACTTGTACATTACACCTATATTTTATTCTGCAAAATATTCTACTGTATTATAATCTATATATAACGAAAGTCTACGTCTGTTTGTCTGTGTGCGCACTTAATTCGAGATCTATGCTCCGATTTACATGACTACGTTTTTTTTAGAAATGTGTTATTTCGATTTTGTTTACTATAATCTTGTTTAAGATTTATTAAAATTTATTTGTTAAGAAAATTTCTGTCCAGGGCAAAAAATTACGATTTCATCAGTACAATAATTATATAGTAAAAAATATCATGAATAAATATCACAAAAACAATTTTTTTTCTAAGCAAGACCTTGTGCGTTATAACGATTTATTTTTTAAATACTGAAATGAAATGTAGTTGAATTTTTAACCAAAACTGTAATGTCAACAACACACGACAACAAATACAACGAAAACAAATCTGTCCCATAAGAACCACACATTTTTCCGGGATAAAGAGTAGCCTATGTATTATTCTCATATATAAGCTATATTATTGTAAAGTTCCATTAACATCCATTCAGTAGTTTTTGCATGAAAGAGTAACAAACATCCATACATCAATACTCACTAACTTTCACATTTATAATATTAGCATAGATGTGCAATCCGACAATAAAAATATTACGAGATATAAACGAGAGCTCGGTTAAAAGAAGTAATAAAAGTGCCTTAACAATGACTTACTAGCACACGCTATAAAATGATAATTCTAAACTAAAAAGGAAATCTAATAATACTTTCTTAGATTTATCTAATTAACTTGTTGTAATAACAAGATATAAGTATTAATATAATAATTTAACGTAATTATTTCACAAATTTTATTTGATAGTGCTTATTTCCTTTATATTAATAGCTTTATCGAGTGGTCTATTCTCAAATTTTTATAATTCCGACCAACTTAAAAACAAAATATAGGTATTTTTCTCTCAAGGTGTCTTTTTCTTCAGGTGCATGTTTTAACATGTATGTATGTATATGACGTATATCTTCGTAAATTATGAAGCGATTTTAATATATAGTATCAAAATAATACAAATTTATGAATACATCTGATAATATGCTAGAGATTATTAGATATTATTAGTCTCACATTTCTTTTTTCAGTTCTTCTTAAAAAAAATATTTTATTATTTAAGCAAAAGTTGAACTAAATTTCACTAGGGTTTTTTAACTTTTAGTAAACGATGTAATATTTACTTCAAGTCGTATAAAAATACAGTACTTTGATTTATAAGTTTCGATAGAGCTTTCTCGGCGTGTCCAAGAGTTGGGGTTAGCCACGTACTATTGATTTACTGGCCCCTCGATTTTAGTTTAGCTTTACATACGTAGTTGGACGCGATGGACATTGGACGATTTAGCTTTTATAATATAAGTACAAGTTATACGCTAGCGTAAAAGTAAATATTGCCTTTACTAAAAACAACTGACTTCAAAAATGTTATTATTTCATCCTTATTTGTCAAAAAAACAAAAAAAAACATTAAATCGCAAAATATACGAACAAAAATATGGCAAAATCTATTAACTTATAGTATAGAAACTTACTCTAGCTTTTTCCGCGGCTCCGATCGCTTAATCTATTTATTTATATCTGTTAGGTTTATAGTTTCACAAGAATTAGGCTATCAAATGCAAAAATAAAACTTTGGTCGAGGCCTAAGTTCACTTCTAGAGATCATCCTATTGACGACACTTTGGCTCAGTTTGTAGTGACCCTAGTTGCTGTGCCAGCAATAGCTATAGCAATAGGTCACGGGTTCGAGTCCCGCTGGAGATATTCATTTGTGTGATCAGCACGAATGTTTGAACTCCAGTCATGGTCATTTAAAATATATACATATGTATTTAAAAAGTAAGTTATATATGTGTAGTGTATCAACTATGTGGTATCCATAACACAAGCCTCGTAGCTTAACATGGAACTAGATGATGTTGTGTGTCTTAAAATATTTATTTATTATCATCTCTTCCTACAAACAAACAAAACATATTCACCTCTATAAATAGAATTAGCCTTCAAAATCGAAGACGTTGAATATCTAAGATATGAATATAATTGAAGAAATACAATATTTTCAAGATTTTCCATATTAAGTGTGTTATTTGAGCGTAACGAATTTAATTCAACGTACAACGAGCTAGTTGTATACGATATAAGCGCTGTTTATTAGTAAATTAATGATTATATACCAGCCGCATACCGTTGCTGTAGCACCGATATGCATCTACGTTACGTGCTGAAGCGGAAACTCGAACATATTTATGATTATATCCCATAATTAAATAGTTGACTGTAGGATGACTTCATGAAAAAATATTTTTGTTATTGCTTTTGGTGATTTTTCTTGTTATAGTATAGTGATATTGTATATATTTTATATATACTATACTATACTATAGTTCTAGGATTTTTTGGACTTTAGACCTAAGTGCCTCGTATTTTTTAGTTTATTGCTATATATTATACGATCGACTGTCGCGAGCGAAGCGAGGGTAAGTCCCTACCTTGCTTCCCAATACAAACTTTCATCCCCATTTTCACCCCTATAAGGGATGATTTCCGGAATAAAAACTATCCTATGTCCTTTCCAGGGTCTCTAGCTATCTTTTTACCAAATTGTATCAAAATCTGTTCAGTAGATCCAGAGATTACCCCTTACAACCAAACCCCTTACAAACAAAAAATAGATGTACTGGAATAAAAAGCAACCTGTATCATTTTTGTAACAACAAATAATATTTTATCAAAAAAGTAAATTATTTAGTTAGTATATTACGCATATATTTCTTGAGGGCAGATATAGAGCATACCATATCATACTAATATTATAAAGAGGTAAAGTTTGTAAGCTTGTGAGTTTGTTTGTAGGAAGTAATCTCTGGACTACTGAACCGATTTAGATTAAATTTAGACCCTGGGAAAGATATAGTAGTTTTTATCCCGGCAATTATTATCTCTTGAGAGGGTGAAAATGGGGATGGAAGTTGAACAATCTCTTTTCGCTTGTATTTAAGCAGTTATATTTTGTTTCTAACGCGTAGTTCCTAACACGTTTTTTTATAGTACTCAGTGATAAACAAGCAGACAGCCCACCTGACGGAAAGCGGTAGCAGTCGCCCATAACTTATATCTATAATAATATTATAAAGGGACCAAGTTTGCCTGTCTGTCTGTTTGTTTGTTTGTTTGAACGCGCTAATCTTAGGAACTACTAATCAGATTTGAAAAATTCATTATATATTTCATATATGGCTATATTTCATCATGCTGCTACCCAAGGGAGCGGAGTAGTAATCATAAATGTCAACAAATCGGGCAAACTACAACATTATTGTAAAACTGATGTTTATATCAGAAGTTGGAATGCAGGCGAAGCCACGGGTATTGCTAGTTTAACAATATATCTAAATAGGCTTTTATTGTCTAAGTTTTTAACTTAACCCATATGATACGAAACTGAGTACTGAAGCGTGCCGAGTGCCGACCAGTAATGATAGGCAGTGTTCTCTAGCTTGTTCCTTATTACAATCGACTGTGTTCTGATCGCTCGTAACTAATAGCTAAAATATCTATTACTTATTTAATTTATTGTTTTAAATGCCAATGCATATAGTGGTGGATTTACATTAGGGGCTCTCAAGGCTAGTGCCCAGGGCGGCAAAATTTGAAGGATAAATAAAAAAAATCTTCGCGTTATGGAAAATATTTTTTTTCCAAAAAATAAATAATAATTTTTTTTATCAAAAATTCAAAAATTGAACATTATTGAAACTTTATCCATTTTATGCAAAATTTCGATAATGAGGCGGCATTTCTTACAGTGCCCAGGGGCGGCGTTAAGGTTGAATCCGGCACTGAATGCATAGGTACTTGTAAACGTATTAAAAACTTTTAGATAATTCTACGTGATATTTGCGAAATAATCTGTGCTCAAATGGCACGCTTTAAAGCCAATAACAAGACAACTGAATTGAATTAACTTTGCATAAAATTTTAGTTTTAGTTAAAGGATAATAAAGGGGGTTTTGCTTCCAGCTTCACTCATGTGGTACATAGGAATATCATTAAAAAAGCCCACATGTTAATCTAGAGCTTAAAGCTATAATACTGTTAGTAATAAATTTTGCCAAAAGATGACGCTATATAATTTATTTATACATACAAAGTACGTATTTACAAAAGGCATCTACGGACGAATCTGAGATAAAGGTAAGTTTTTAGTACATTATGAATTGCATTTTTTCATCGACTTACAGTTGCTCTCATTGATTATTTTTGCTTGCCTACTGCTGGTCTAAAGCCGATGGCTTCTCAATATACCAGATATCGTAGGAGGTATATCGTTGGCTATAAAATAAGCTCAAAACTAGTGCAATAAATCTAAGAGACATTTTATATAATAAAATATCCACTAGAAAGCTCAGTATTCAATTACTAATTTATTGTTAAAGCTGTGAAAGGAAAACACATAAATATTATATATTGATTAAATTTAATTACTTATATTTATATGCTTCCATATAAACGTATAAGAAATATCAATATAATAAACCATTCACAGCAGCTTAGATAAAGAGATATGTTATAAAAGAAAGATTTTCATATATTTTTCTTAATTTAGATGTACAACATCTTCAAAGGTTTTGAAACAAAAATAGTGTAAAGATTGACTAAAAAGTAAGCATATATATATATATAATATATATATAATATATATATGTTATATATATATATGTTATGCTATGTAAGTATATATATATATGGTATATATATGTATATATATACCAGATATTGATATATACACATATATATATATAAATACATACATATTATAAATACCCATGACTGGAGTACAAACATCCATGCTCATCATACAAATGAATGGTTCCAGTGGGATTCGAACCCGCGACCGTTTAC